AATGTAACATACAGGTTGATATGCCACTAAACAAAACCCATAGAGGTCGATATGCCACTAAACAAAACCCATAGAGGTCGATATGCCACTAAACAAAACCCATAGAGGTCGATATGCCACTAAACAAAACCCATAGAGGTTGATATGCCACTAAACAAAACCCATAGAGGTTGATATGCCACTAAACAAAACCCATAGAGCTCGATATGCCACTAAACAAAAACCATAGAAGTTGATATGCCACTAAACAAAACCCATAGAGGTTGATATGCTACTAAACAAAACCCATAGAGGTCGATATGCCACTAAACAAAACCCATAGAAGTTGATATTCCACTAAACAAAACCCATAGAGGTTGATATGCCACTAAACAAAACCCATAGAGATTGATATGCCACTAAATAAAACCCATAGAGGTTGATATGCCACTAAATAAAACCAACCAACCAACATATTTCTGTTGCGTCCAGTTTTCTCTTTATATTTCATGAAATTGTCCAGCATTCAATGCCATATAGGTGTATTGATATTACATAACAATTGCACACTTTTCTTTAGTAAACAAAATATATACACGTCGATATGGCAGCTGCTAAAATACAATAAAAATTAGCATTCTAGAATGAAGTTACACAATAGTCCTGATGTCTAATAAAAAAAAGGAACAAATCTTTTGGTCAACCCGATATAAATTCATATAACCATGACGCATTCAGATGACCGTTTTTTTTTTGGAAAGGATCAAATGGTGTCCAGTTTCGCCTGTCTACATATTAGTAGAAATATTACACTGACAGTTTGGAGTTCGAACACGCCTCACATATCTAATGATACATAAGTTACACCTTAAATTTCTAAACTGTCTCTCTTCTAACACAAAGACTGTCAGAGTGGCGCCTTTTTTTTCACTCTTTACCGTATATTAAATTATACACAAAGCGAGGCTCCTGAACAATAGGCATTATTTACGCTTTCATGAAGTTGTCATGTCCACTGGATTATTTTTTGCGAGTCATGGAAATTATGGCGCATATATTTTCATTTACTTTGTGAAGACGAACCGATTGAAAAAAAATGTCAGCGGAAATTATGAATAAAAATGTAAAACGTCCACACACGATGTTATATCTTATGTGGACTTTTACTGAAGGGGGTTGAACTCATTAAAGTGTTAATGAACTAACCACTGCTCTACGGCAAGACACTTTTATTGGGGCCACATGTGTGAGGAATTATGTGAGAAACGAACTCAATATTGTACGTTAGGTTAGATTGGTTCGTTTTGACTATATATCATCTTTGTTGGTTTATTAAATGCCAAAGTCGCTTTTTTGAAATTTATTATTATTATTATTATTATTATTTTCTTGGGTTTCTGTTGTATACACATTTCTTTCCGGGTCCCAACCAGAGACCTATGGTCAGAAATAGCTCCATATCTTCCATTGATAGACCCACCCCAAATCTTAAGATCACAAAAAAATTTGCATAGCTCTTCCTAATGTGTGAACGTACTTGTGAGTACAAATTTTGTATTTCTTTAAGGTATGGGCTACCAGAAATTCTTTCAATGAATCTATCGGAACCTTTTCCAATCAATCCGAGGAATCCAACTGGAATTGCTGATGGTCTCATGTGCCATATTTTTTTGAGATGTCCGTTTCAAGATCGTTGTACTTTGATAGTGTTTTGAAGATCTTCAAAGATGCATTACTGTCTGCACGGACTGCCGTGTCAATAGGAAAGCACATTTTGTCTTTGTGGTCTCTAATCACGATGTCAGGGCGATTAGCTTTGATTTTTCTGTCTGTGTGCATTGTAAAGTCCAATAAAATTGTCACATGTCCTATCTCTGTAACCGGATCTAGGTGATGTTCATATCAATTTCTTGCATTTTCCTTTTCGTGAAAGTTGCAGATTTTCCAGTGCATATATTGGCTCAATCTATCATGCCGGATTTTATATTTAGTAGGTGCCAATATCGTGCAACCTGATACAAGATGGTCAATTGTTTCTGAATATTTATCACAGAATCTGCATTTTGTGTTTGCACAATTTTTCAGTATGTATGTTTGGTAATATTTAAGCATTGGTCTTGGCAGCAAGAATAAAACCTTCGGTTTCAGCTTTTAACCCTGCATTACGTAACCGCTGATGAGTACAGAGTTTGTCTACATCAGCTTGTTTGATGCGGGCAGAGTACAGACCATGAAGAGGCTTATCTTGCCATTGTTTCTGAATCCATTGCATTTGATTTTTAAGGTTTTTGACTCTGCAGTAGGTGTATTATGTTTTAATTACATTTCTTCACCCATTTGAAATTCCATTTTGAATGTGTTGGCTTCCTTTATTTCTTCATTACTTAATAAGGTTTCTTACTTCTTTCATGTTCTTTGACACAGATCCAGTCTTCTGTAGTTTCCAGGCATCTTTGAAGGCCGATTGTTGTAGTTTTGTAAGACAGTTCTAGTTGAACTAATCCTCTTCCACTTTCGAGTCTGGGCACATACAGACGATCAATATCAGCCTTAAGATTATACATGTGATAGCAAAAGAGAAGCTTTCTCGTCTTGGCGTCCAGCTATGGTCCAGTTAAGGATGTTTGAATTGTATTGCACAACAGGTACAGCCAATGTGTTTATTGTGTCTGTTTTGGGAATTCAAATCGGTATTTAACACCAATTGCACATGTCTGTAGTATTATTTTCTTACTTTGTCCTTCATCTGGGTATGTTGTATTCCATCTCCTTCGCTAATTCCTAGGTCTCTAGAGGATTCTTGTTCCAGTACCCTAATTTTTGTGAAAAAATCTAGTTCTATTGAGTGTGTTTCTGCAATTCACCCTTTCTTGAATGTTACTTTTGCATATTTTTCTAATCCAAAATCCATACCTATGTCGTTACTTACACATTTTACAATATTTAGGATATCCTTCGACTCATTGTCGTCATTGACAGAGTTTGTGATCATTCATGTAGAGTAGGTGATTAAATCATTTCTCGTTTACTGTTTATCTATGACTATTATTTATTTCATGCGAAAGGGAGGAGGATTAAGGACAGATAGAACAGGGAGTCTTCTTGAATGATCTCTCATCGAATATTCAGGCGGTTGGAAGTGACAGTTTATTTGGTGTGATTTCGGTAAAATGTGGTTTTACGGTCTCATGCTATATTTAAGGAAATTTACTACCACCGAGGAGACTTTGTCCATTTCCAAAGCCTTATGGATCCAAGAGTGTGGCACACTATCAAAGGCTTTACGGTAATTTATCCAAGTTGTACTGTGATTTCTACCTCTTCTTCTGCAGTTTTCCAGAATCATTTTGTTTATCAATAGTTGATCTTTGCAACCATATGAACCTCTCCGACATCCCTTTTGTTCTAAGGGAAAATGTTGTTTTCATTGATAAAAAAAAAGTAAGTTCTGTTCGTCATGACAGACATGATGAATTTATATGTGGTGGACAGACATGTTGTTGAACTATAATTTTTCGGATCATCCTTTTTTGGTCGGAGATATGTAATACCTTTAGTGGTCTATTCTGGGACTTCATTGGGATTATTAATTAGCATTGATGACGCAAGGTATTGATGACAGATGATAGGGTCAAAAATTGGGTACTGTCATTTCCTGGGGATTTCAATTTTTAGAATTTCTTTAGAGTTATAATTTCCATTCTTGTGGAAGTTTATCCTTCATTCTTTCTTCTCGTGTGAACCATTCTATATTGGGATTATATTCTTTTGGCTGCTCTAAATATTCTCAAAAATTTTTGCACTTCTTCAATAGATGGTGGCTTTTTTACTTTTATTTTAGGGGAGGGGGTTCTTTTGTATACGCATTTCCTTCCGGGTACCAACCAGAGATCTAAGGTTAGATGTTTTGTATGTTTTCGGCTAAAAATATAGCCGAAAGCATACAAAACAATTTCTACATAAGTTATGTCCTGAAAAGAACACAATAAAAATTAAATAAAAAAACTTAAGCGCAGCACCTTGTCAGTCGGTTTTCATGAAACTTATATAAAAGAGGGATTTCTACCCAAATAGAAAATTATATATATGCAGGCATATATATATATATATATATATATATATATATATATATATATATATATAATACAGTGTATCTTATTTTCAACGCTCGTGCTTGTTTTCTGACTCATTCCTCCACCAAAACCATTAACAATATTACTCAAGGATTCAAGCTGTTAATCGATGTCGACCTACAGAGGTCAATTAAATCGGGCAGAATATCTTTTGTCAGCGAATGTGCCATTTTCAAAGAGTATTCCGAAATAAAAAAAATACGAGAGACTGAAATGAAAAAAAAAAAATTCTCCACAGGAAGTAAAAGTTCATACAATCCTTCACGAGTAATGCACAGTATTGACCAACCCAAAAGCACATGTTTGCAGTGACCTAACTGCATGTTTGCTGTCAAAAAATACAATGGCAGGAATTTGTTTTCAAGGGTAGCGCCCATTTGAGAGAAATATCTAGTATTACAGTCCGTCAGCCGTTATAGAGGTCACGCTTCATGGAAGCAATACGAAGCCATCCAGTTAAAGGAAGGTTTGTTCTCAATAGCTTGCCATTTGGCCCCGACGACCATAATTCATCGTCATTGTAAACCTTTCTGTAAATATCACCAAAGAAAAAATTTAACTCGTTTTCCAGGACTTTGTGTATTTTGTACCGTTCTCTATAAATTTTTCATCGCTCTTTTAAATATAGTTAATGTTGTAACCTAGAAATAGTTACTGAATGAAGAATAATCAAAACGGAGGTTAGAAATGAAATGGTAATCTTTATAACATCAACAAAATACAATACACGCCAGCGGAGTGAAGTAGGTAAACCATTGCTAGTGGCGAACTACATAGACAGCATATTACCCTCACTTACAATAGTGCCCAACGTATTTATGAGGATTGGGGCATACCCATTAGTGTTCATGGGTATGGTATATATCACTATTCCAAGTCAATAGCTAGCTATCTATCTATCTATCTATCTATCTATCTATCTATCTATCTATCTATGTGTTGTAACCTAGAAAAGATTACTGAATGAGGAATAACCAAAACGGAGGTTGGAAATTAAATAGTAATCTTTAAAACATCAACAAAATACAATACTCGCCAGCGGCGTGAAATAGGTAAACCACTGCTAATGGTGGACTACTTAGATAGCATATTACCCCCATGGACAATAGTGTCCAACGTATTTATGAGGATTGGGGCATACCCATTAGTGTTCATGAGTACGGTATATAACAGTTAAACAGACAAGACGGAAAATTGCGCCATCTCCAAAATGATTATTAGATAAATGTTGTAACAGAGTGGGAGATGATTTATCTTAAATTAAACTTTTGGATAAGACATAAAATTGTGTTAATGATGGACATTTCAATACAGATTACGACGAAGAAAGTTGTATTTGAACGAAATTAAATAGAAGCTCTTGTGTGCATGCCTTTTCTATTAAACTAACGCCAGACACACGAAATAAAAAAGAGACATGACAGGAAGGCGGCAGCGGTAGAAAATAGAAGCGTTTGTGAATGAGGTCAAACATAAAAGCAGCAGCAGAGTCATCAGCAGGCAGGAAAGAAAAACATTAGCATTAAGGCTCCCGGTTCTAGGTTCACGATTAATAATGTAGTAGATTACAACGTTAGTTCGTGAGTTTGGTGACATAGTAACTGTAAGTACAACTCGAATATTACAGAGTCAAAACTCGGTAGAAAATAAGACAAACAATAAACCTCTGTAGATTAAACGAAGAGTTCAGTACGAAGCACCCTGAAAGTTACCGGGATCAAAAAGCGCCTGAAGAAGGCTAGAGGATACAATTGAAAGTTTGTGATTATAGCAAAAAAGATACGGGCATTAGTCCGAGGGTAAATAATGTGAATAATGATGAATAATAATAATGATAATAAAAATCTAGTTGGCATTAAATAACCCATTGAGGGTTATTTATGCCATAAAACAAAACACACCAAAATTAACAAAGAAATAGTGTGAAATGTCAACATTTGATTATGTCATTATTTTCTTTTCGAGTTTCATGTGCTATCCATTTTAGTTGTCGCTGCTGTTGGTAGGCCCCAAGTAATGTGGTTTCTGCTATTGGGTACCGTTCTTTGCTTGTGATTCTCTACCGCCAGTCCAGAAGGTTCGAAGAAGGATGGTCCTCGTTGAAACCTATAGGCTTCATTTCCTCGAAGTCATTTTAACCATCAATCAGAGACAGCTAACATTTTTGTTATTTCTGTATGAGTTTGGCACTATGCATGACATCCGCATGAAAGTGTTTAAGAATATGACACGAGATTTTTAGGTTAATGTCTTGTTTTTAGCAACTTGTGATGTTTTATCAAACTACCCCTAATTCATGTTGAGTACCTGATCAGTTACCTATACATATCTAAGTTGAAAGCCGGAGAGATATTAATTAATGCATAATGAGTCTTGGGCAAGCAGACTTGGCGTAACCCATCTCTTTCCAGGTCAAATCACAGCCGATGTCCTGCAGCTTTAAGGCTCGCCTTGTTCACAGTGAGAGACACATGGACATCGATTACATCAGTGGAACCGCCCTCCCTGGCTGTGATTATACTGCAAAACCGAGCGGAGGGCTAATTAGACTGAAGTCAACGGCCAGAGTAGACGCTTTCTTCTATGGAATCTACAGCCTTCACCGTGACCAAAGCGAGACTTCAAGCACAAGGATATCGTCTGTAGTTTGACCTGGAAAGATATGGACTCCCCCAGACTCATTACACATAGATGAATACCTCTCCAGCTTTCAACCCAGATATGTGGAGCTGTCTGTTCGAGTGCTCAGCTACGCGGGTGAGCATACGACCATTACCGATCATGGTATTGGTGATGATGTCCTCTGTAAATATGTATAGAAAAACACAAGTAATAATTCGAATAACTGTTAAGGGTAAAACGTAATCCACCTCTAGAATTGGCCAAAAACTACCAATAGTCAGAAGAAAAATTAAACAAATCCCGATTGGTCAGAATGCCTATACAGAATTGAATAAAAAGATCTCATTTGCATAGACACAAATTTTGTTTACCAAAAAGAGTCGAGAAATGATCGCTTTTGGACCCATGGGAAAGAGAGTTTCATCTCATGGAAGTCTGAAATTTTCAATGCCCCTAGAACAGATACCACTGAGGAATTATTCTGGTGCACAATATTTGCGAATAAAACGAATAAAGTACTGAAGTTAAAAGACAATAAATCCATAGCTCAGTTGTTTATGGTGTCCAATGTATTTCATAGATAGTTCGAGGAATCTACCTTTGGGAATTGTATTTGGTTTGTAATTCTCAATTGATGCCCAATGTGTTCACATTGGAAAAGGAAAGCTGTAAGTTTAAGAGTAATAATTAAAAAAAAAGTTTTTTCAAATACCCGAATCGTCTGTTGCTTGTAAAATGTTTGGTAACCACAGAATTTGAAAAGTAATACTATTCTCATTGTTATTCTCTCATAAAAAAAATAAATAAAATAAAAGCATTCTTTTTATACAAAATAAAAACAATTATTAGATGCATATTTTGGGGGACAGGAGTGTATTATCATAAAACCTGGCTTTGCCATTTAAACATGGATACGGGTCGTATTTCCTTCCCTTGACTCATTGTTTTTTTTTTTTAAAAACAAGTGAAACAGGCAACAGCTGCTATTTAAAACACCAATAAATCTGTAACTCGAGGCTAGGGTAAAGTTCAAACATTGTAGTGGAGCACAGATAATTTTGAAAGCACCTCGTTTGGAAAAGGCAACCGAAGTAAAAGAAAAAGAATGTTACTCTGAAATTTTGAACTCCAGACAGACTATCAAATAGGCGTAAAGAAGGAAAAGAACGTCTGTCATATAGTATACGAGACTATACAAACGGGCCGCAGAGTGAAGATGAAACAGGGCCTCGCGTAGCAACTGATGATGCTGTCGACCACGATGGCAAATGTCATGCTAACGAGATGATGCTTTGAGCTGTGCCACAGAGACCAGAAACGAAAGGAATCTGTATGGACGAGAGATTAGAGGGACAGTTGACATTGTCCAGACAACAGCAATGTTGGAGCCTGTGAAGAGAATGCAAATGGCGCCAAATATTTACCCTCACCTAATCTACAGCGGTAAACATACATCCCTGTGTTAAGACGAAAATTCATGATATATAACTAATAATAATAATAATATATATATATATATATATATATATATATATATATATATATATATATTCAGGGTGTATCAAAAATACTTAAATACGTTTACAGGCGCTGGGCTAGGTTATGTATATATGTGTAGCTAGTCTGTCTTCAACGTTTAACGCTTGTAGTAGTGAGTAGAGAAGTGTTCCGTTTAACAATGGTAGGATATTCATATCGTCAGCAGGCAGATATGATTTTTACATCCGGCCGGGCGAATAGTAATGGTCGCGAGGCTGCACGGCTGTATCAGATTGCGTTTTCAAACCGAAAGCAGACGAATCATCCAATCTTTGCTGCTGTTTATCATCACGTTGCTGAGACAGGATCTGTTTCAAAGTTTGTAAAACTAATTTGGGATTGTATCTTGGATTGTATCTTGGATTGTACATTTAACAGCGTCTACTTTAAACTTAATAAATCAAAAACAATGGATTTGAGGACATATGTTTTGGTGTGTGGAACCCGCTCCTAAAGTTTGTAAAAGTATTTTTGGTACACCCTGTATATATAATATATAAATAAAACAATAGTCATTTGTTACTGCCGTCCGCGACTAAAAGTTTCATGTGGACACTTTATTGCTGATACTGATGTCTTACAATTCTTTAGTCGCGGACGGGAGTAACAAGTGAGTATTGTTCTATTTATATTTTATATCAGGTCTGTTTTGTATATTTTACATTGAGTACTGTTTTTATAGCCTTTTGTCTTTATTATACAATATATATCTGATGAACTATTCAGTCGATGTCAACGTATGAGGTTCCGACAACTTCATTCAGTTTTTATGTTTGTATCGTATGAGACACTTCAGTCTCGCTAGGGACTTACATACAAGTCCACATATTGTGAAACGGCGAGGATATCGGGACATAGCAACAGGAACATTTGATGACCCTTTTCTCCGTTGTCTTTCGTCTATTAGTCGATCACTACGACTGATTACAAAATTTCTGATATCACTGACACAAATATCTCCAGTTATTTATATCCAGGGCAAATACAAGTTTTATTAAAGGCGATTAATAAGGTACTGCGATTAAGTTTTTTATTAAATTTTTCTTGCATTCGTACAAGCTAGCTTTGCAAGTCATTACAACAGTAGTAGATTGATCCCCACAAGGTGCCCTATAGTTGTTCCTTTATGATGATTTTGACTTGTTTTTTGCGGTTTATCCATTTTTGCAGGTTATTTAAAGCTAGAAAATATTTTTAGATTGTTAAAAAAAATTGAGATAATAATGAAGTTCTATTAGTTAACCCATAGCTGGGGGAGAAGAGGTGAATTCATACCTTTCCCAAATGTAATTAAATATAACGAACCAGCCTGGAATAGGAACTCGTCTCTCCGATTTTTAATTCCGAGTCATCTAGGTACTGACCAGTCACGACGTTGCTTAACTTCGGTGATCGTACGAGAACCGGTGTTTCAACGTAATACGGCCGTAAGCCGTTCTTTTGTGATGTTGTAGCTTAACGACATTCAATCTCCGTGAGGAGGTTTTTAATTTTTTTTTTTTACTTGAGTGTTAGAAAAAGAACAAAACATTCTTTCGATTGCAGTTTGTATTGCATGCTAACATCTGTTTTAAATATTGATATCCTCATTCGATATGACCTAATCTTTCCTTCTTTTTAATCAATAGGCTCTGTCGATTTCTATTGATTTCAAACACCACCGTCACTGGCAAACAACTGCAATGTTTTTGAATTGTGTCTGTATTTTTTTTTTTTACTGTTGCGGTGTATCAAAACCGTTTTCGTTTCTTTCCGTCGATTCCTTATTGCCAAAAAATTGTGTATTGTTCTCTATCGGTCCACCCCACTCGATGATCGCAACTCGGTTTGATCTTTAATTTGAATTTGAAAGCATCATACTCGATAATTGACGACCGTTCAGTTGTAAACTTTATTTTAAGCAGCAGATCATCTAAAAGCTAAAAATATATCAATTAGTTATGGCATATGGAGTAATGGATAGCGGCTCGGATTGAGGAATCGGAGAGCCGAGTTCGAATTCCAGTCGAATCCATTACATTCATTTACGTGTATTAGGGAAAGGTATGAATTCTCTGCCTCGTCAGTCCCCACCCCAGCTATGGACAGATCGGGTTCTACAGCCTTGTGTGGCAGCTGGTATAACGCAGAAAAAAATGGCAACCTACTGCGGCAAAAAATCTGTTCGTCAGTCAGGTATCGAAAGATACATGATCACCTAAGCGTGTATCATGCATGGCACATAACTGACTGACTGACTGAATGGCATATGTTATTTCATTTCTTTCCACTTCCCGAATTTTGTCCGATTTCGTGGCTCAGTTTAATAGAATGCGTCAAAATTATCACATTGAAAAACACAATAATAACATAATCGCTGAGTGGCTAAAAGTTCGCTTTCCGAACATGAGACCCGTGTTCGAATCTCACCATGTTATCGGCCTGACGTTGGTGATCTTAGCGTGCGATACTTTTGGCAAGTGCCTGGGGACGGCCCAATAGACGGAGATATTTAAGAGCCGTCGGTGGTTGTCCTAGCACGAAGTCACAAGTCATCGTGACCGAGGGTATGAGTGTGTTGGCCTTGTGCAGGCTGTTGATCACGCTATGTAATGCGTCCTCTCCGAGAAACTATAACTAAGAGTTAGAGTATAAACCACAGGTGGTCTTTGTAGGTGTTGAACTGGGATTAGCCAACCACCCTAGTAAACAGGTATTCTCAGATACGAGAGGCAATAGTAAGATAAAATAAAACGTAGGCGTAAATAGTATCGATAATAATAATAATAATAATAACAACAACAATATAGAGTATTAATAGCAATAATATAGTGGAGGCCTAGATAGACTTTAGAGGTATATGTGAAAAAAGTTTAGAGTAAATGTTTGAAAAACGAAAATATTATTGATACGTATTAATATATAGCAATAATAGCAAATATATGTAGCTGAAGCTATAAAATTACGTACAAAATATTTAAATTTCAGCATTAAATAACCCATAGAGATCGATACACCGCTAAACAAAATCAATCAAGCTCATCAATTACCAGGATAATTAATGCGGTACATGAAGACATTGATAATGCCAATTGTGGATACGGACCTCGGTTTGATTGGAAAAGGTTCTGATAGACTCATTGAAGGGGGCCCTGGGAGTTCATGCCTTAAAGAAATACAAAAAGTTGTTCTCACAAGTAGACCGCACGCCTTATGAATGGATTTATAAATGTAAAATGTGTGTGATCTTTTAGGTTGTTTTATTTTTATTTCTTTTACAAAATGTTTAGTGAAAATATCATGATGCCAGTTCTGATGTTAGGTCTCTGGTTGGGACCCGCAAGGAAATGTGTATACAACAGAAATCAAAGGAAAGGATGATGATGATGATGATGATGATGATGATGATGATGATGATGATGATGATTAAGTCCTAGATAGTTTTTAGATGTGTACATGAAATACGCATCGGAGTAAAGGTAATTAAAAAACGTAATTAATAATATAGGGGGTATGCAGATAGTTTTAGGGGGATATGTGAAGCTTTAGAGTAAGGGTCTCTAAAAACGAAAAAAACTCTGATATCTATTAATATACAGTAATAATAGCAATAATATAGTGGAGTCCTGTATAGAATTTAATGGTATATGTGAAATAAGCTTTGGTTTAACGGTCTTTAAAAAAACGAAAATAATTCTGATACACCCTAAAGAACAATAATTTACATTCTACTGTTTAAACAAAAACAAACGAAATTTCAAAAAGAAGAAAATTATATGAAATATTAAAAATTTATTAAGGTGCTCTTGATGCTAATTCATGTAAACGGTTTAACATAGGAAATAGTTTGATTTGGTTTGTTTTGTTTTACGGCATATCATCCTCAATGGGTTATTTAATGCCGACAAGATTTTTTATTGCTGGTAATATTTCTGTTCAAAAATGTATTGCTGGTAATATTTTTTCCAAAAATGTATTGCTGGTAATTTTTTTTTCGAAAAATATCCTGCTGGTAATATTTTTTTTTAAATGTATTGCTGGTAATTTTTTTTTCAAAAATGTATTGCTAGTAATAATTTTTCCCCAAAATGTACTGCTGGTAATATTTTTTTCCAAAAATGTATTGCAGGTAATATTTTTTTTCAGAAATGTATTACTGGTAATAAATTTTCCTTAAAAAATTCATTACTAGTAATAATTTTTTACAAAAAATTATTGCTGGTATTAAAACCTATTTTTACTCTTTCATAGTGTTTTGACCCTAGTTTAGTTGGTGGGCGGGTCAACTATTTGCCCATAGCTGGGACCCTAACAAATGCTACCACCCCGGGCCAGGGTGGACCTGGGAACGCCATCAATTAAGAGGTGGTTCCACGCTCCTCAAAACCTCCTGATCAGAGGCCTTGCTGTAGGATGTAGTTTATCGTTTTACCCGGGACGCGGATGTAGTTTATCGTCTCACCCAGGACGCCACAGGAAATATGAATTCAGTGTAGCTTTTTAACTTTTATTTGACATTTAAAAAAAAAACCCATCAATGGCGGATACAGCAATAAATTAACCGAATCTAACGAAAAGAACCTACACCTGTGGTACTGTGGTAATTTGAAGATTAACTTTAATAAATGTCTATGGTTTACGCTCAAGCCAGTCAGAAAGCATTTGTTCTCGTTCGACCACGGAAGGTAAGCAACATAAAAACTGGTTAGTAATTTAGAAGAATGGCTGCTTAAAGCACTGCTAATAGAATGTAGTCATCTTTCATACGAAGAAATCTA